TTTCGTCGGCGAGAACTGCTTGGCGGAAATCATCCAAGGTTGAATACTCATTGAGCAAGGCATCATCCCAGACAACCTCGAGCACACGGTTTTTGTACGTCGGGTGAGCCATGATCTGATGCAGATAGTCCAGATTAGCTCGATTAGGCGAGACGTAGACGCGATCTATACGCAGATACACGCTGGCCGCCAAATGCTTGCTCGTGAGCCGCAGTCGCTTGATGTCGAGCTTTGAGATGTGCTGGCAGACGATTTCGAGAAGTTCCGATGGCAAGTCCGTGATGGTCTTCCTGTTCTGGGCCCCGCTCCCAAAGGCCTCGGGGAACTCGTCGCCAAACAGGCCTTCCATGAAGCTCACGGACGGAACGATGCTCGCACTCAATGCCGAAACAGTGGAAACCCTGCGCTTTGAGACGCCAGCCCGAATAGACAAGCTAGGCTTGCGGCGTCGGGTCTTGGCAGGTCTTATCTGGAGGTTTGTGAACATCGCATCGGTATATATATACGATTTGGTGAACGCGGTTGTTAGATAGTAAACGCAGACGGGTCCCGGGAGCTGGTCTGTTGCGGCGGTATGTAGGTCTCCTGCTAGGCTATGTTGCACGCGCAACGTTTGAGCGTAGGCTACGTATGTAGGCGTCTGGGATCGCGTGGATAGAAACAAATATGATTAGATGAGGTAGCGAGACTGATTAGTTGATGTTCAAAATACGGTGTCGAAGGACAAAGGTTTATGCTAAGGGTGGTGAAACGCCAGCGCTTGCAGCGCTACCAATGCAAGGCTACTTGCTACCCCATTTGAGGACAGTTGAGCGGCCATCATAGGCATATATCGTGTCGCGCATGCGACACTTCTAGATGCGATAAATAAACACCCAATGAGTCGCATACGTGAGACGCGTTCATAGACGATACGGAGGGGCAGTCAATTGTGATCGCGGAAGCCGCAACGTGCCCGCGTGTCTTCGCTTACAGCGTGGTGGAGAGCTGCCCGCAGTAGGGTGGGTCCGCCCAAGTCAACGTCAAACCTTTACAAACGACATCACAGGAAGCTTCGAGGACATGTCATGATGGCAATCAGGATTTCTCATTATATGGAGTGCTTTCCAGCAAACTCAAAGAGTGCCCAAGAGCATACATAAGCGAGTACTGCCTCTTCGGCAAGTACCCCACGAACGGTTCCACGACGCATCCACCGCTCGATATCCGCAGCCAGTAAACCGCCTACCTACGCAGGCCTACAGTATACCAGACACGCCATCGCAGCAGACGCGCTCGCTCTTCCCATATCGATATGAAGATTGACCAGCACCCGAGTGCATGTCCGTACCCCGCACATGCCTGTGCCGAAGCACGGAAGTATGACTGAGGCTGTGTGTAGAAGTCGACGTCAGGGAAGGGGGCGAGTCGTTCATTTAGGAACCCTCCTCGCCTTCGGCCTTGTTCTTCTTCTTCTTCTTGCTTGAGCCGAAGTCGTTCTTTACTGTGGGAACGGGCGACTGGTGGACGATGAAGCGGGTGTAGCACTCTTCTGGGTCCCACTCAAAGCCCATGAGGTATGGCTTCTCGAACTCGTCGTCTGCCTACAGGAGGGTTAGCTATGCTTTGGCACCAACCTCAAAGTACGTGGCATATAGGAATAGCAACAACGATGCGCAATGGTAAGGTCCAATGACAAGGGATACTTACGCGCTTCTTGAACTGCTTGTGGATGGCATCTAGTGCATCCTTGATGGTAACACCCTTCATGTTCCGTGCGGTGACTTCTAATCCTAGCGGGAAGTGCAGGGCGATTGACTTGAGCTTGGGCTCGGTGAGTGGCAGCTTCAAGACTGATGGGTCTTCGACGGTGCTCGGCGACTTGTTGAGCTTCCTGGAAGTACTGTATTAGCATGGCACAAGATATGGGGGCTTCCGGAGCGATCCGGACGGCGACGAGCTGGTCTGCATCATTGTCGGATTGCTCGCAATGATGCGATTAGGGGAATCACTTACCAGTTCAGCTTCTGGGTTTCGATTGCGATCTCGATCTTCTTGCCTTCCTTCTCTGAGGTTCTGTCAGCCCCGCCCGCTGCTCACGCACGACCCCTCATTTGGGCTACCATCATAAGAGGTACTCACCTAGATCCTCAATACGGTAGACATCAGCAGCCATGGAGCTGACTCTGCGGTGGCCCTTCTTAGCGGCGCCATCTTGGTGATCGGTCAAAGAGTCGACCTTCTGGAGCGTGTTTTCTGTCTCTGCGGCCATTGTGATGGGATGCAGTTGCAGTCAAGCTACTGGAAGATTGAAGGGGTTGTAGATGATGAAAGAGCTTGGGAAGCTGTAGAATGGTTGCTTAGAGCTGTGGATGTGATGTGAGATACGAAAGCACAGTGGAGGCTGTGAGGAAGGAGAGAAAACGAGGGAGGGCGCAGCTTATGAGGGGCTCAGTCTCTCGCCGGCAGGCACAGGAGACGGTCACTTGATCGATCACCACATTGTGGTCCAATCCAATCGGCGTGAGACGTGAATGGTCGGGCCAATGCGGGGAAGGGGAGCATCACCCAGAATGCGGGGAAGGAGCAAACCAACGGTGGAAGCCTGCGTGTCCATTCCACAATGTTGGTCAAAAGAGCTCGAGATAGTGTAGAAGCTAGCAATTGAGCCTCGTTATTCGCACTTTGACCTTCCCAAGCATCTATTGCTGTTGTGTTATTGCTCCGGAGCATCAGGCACGGTGGTGAGATAGATCGCGTGACCGACGTCATTGGCCGCTCGGCGTCTGGACAAAGCGCGCATCGACGCGTATCATCTCAGCTCCGGGCCCCAATGCGGTCCGAGTTAATCAGAGATCCACTTGATTACTGCAAGGGCTCAAGGTCCACGCGGAGATGCATGTCAGCATCCTACTGGACTGTCCACGTCCGCAAGATGGCCTGGGGCTGCCTAGGTACCTAGGTATCCATATGAACTCGATAATCACTCACTTAGAAAAGCAATATAGATGGATGGTGACTTCGCATTTGGCACCGCAACATTTATTGGTATATCGCTTGTTGGCTCCGAGTGCTATCGTCGATGTTATTGCATGACTTGCTTATGAATGCCCAACAATCCTGACGGGCTCGTACAGCTCCTCGAGGTAGTTCTCTTCCTCCTCAGTCAACTCCTTGCCCCTCGCTGCCAGCGCTTCATCCATCCTGTCTGTGCTGGAGAAGCCGATGATCGGGCTTGCGACACGCTTGTTGATCCATGCGAGGGCAACGTGGCTCATTTTCCAGTCGTGCTTCTTCGCGATCTCTTCAACGCGAGCAATGATCTTCTTGTCACGTTCAGTGTTACCAGAGGTTTGGTTACCGGCCTTTTGTTCGCCTTCTGAACGAGTAGTCGAGCCGAATGCAGAGGGAGGGCGAGCGAGATGGCCACGGCAAAGAGGTGCCCACTATCAAGCTATTAGCAAACATTGACTTTGTAGTTGGAAGGGAAGCATACCGGGATCAGACCAATACCAGTGTCATTGCAGAACCGGTTCATCTCACGCTCTTCCTCGCGGTAAAGCAGGTTGTAGTGATTCTGCATGCTGATGAACTTCGTCCAGCCGTTCTTTTCGGCGGTGAACTGCATTTGCGCAAACTGCACCGCCCACATAGAGCTGGCACCAATGTATCGAACTTTCCCACTCTTGACCAGATCGTGCAGCGCCTCCATGGTCTCCTCAAGAGGCGTGTTGGGGTCGAAGCGGTGGATCTGCAGAAGATCGATATAGTCCATGTCAAGACGCTTGAGCGACGCATTGACAGCGTTGAAGATGGCCTGCCGTGAGAGACCACCTTGATTTACATAGTCTTTCAACTGAGGCAGCTCTTTGCCGTATTGAATGGTTCGCAGGCCGGGGTCCTCGCCAACGTAGCCAAAGCATTTGGTGAGAATTACGAGCTTATCGCGAGGTAGGTTGTACTTCTTGATTGCCTTGCCGACCAGTTCTTCAGAGACACCGTTGGAGTAAACATTGGCTTTATAAGCTGTCAGTAACCATTGCAAGTATTTGGCTGCTCTACATGTCTTACCGGTATCCCAAGTCGTCAGACCGCGATCGTATGCAGCCTTCAGCAGCGGTAGCGACTCTCCCTCTTCGATGACCCAGGGCTGCCATTTGGAACTTCCAATGCTCATAGCACCCAAGATGGGTACTGAGACCTTGAGACCGCTCTTTCCCAAGCGCTTATATTCAGCCTTGGACTCCTTGAGGAGCCCTTCAATATCGAGCTTGTCCGCCATGGTCTCAAATCTATGGATCGGTTGCGGATTGGTGTTTAGTGGGGTGCTTGATGTTTCGCAGCGCTGTGGTGGGGCAAGCAACAGAGGTGTGAATAAACCAACAGCTGTATGGGCGACACCTTGCTCATATATTTCCCCATGACGGCACTTTCGCCGTGCCTGCACCACCTGCTTTCCAATCCAGGTTACAATGAGCTGTCATTGTCGGGTTTTGCGGCGATAGCCTCATCATCGTCCCGGTGGTAGATACTACAACGAGCACCGATGCGGGGTTCAGGCACGACGAGCCGCCATGGATACGTCATGTGGAAATCCCACATCCGCGGATAGTCCAGTGGCCAAAAGAGGCAGGAGGCGTCTCTTCGTGCATGGATTGAGAGATGGAACCGAATGACCATCAGATTCATGCTTACTCGTAAAATGATCTCATCTGTAGTGTGCTACGTTGGACTCGTCAGGCACGGGCTCACACCATGCAACATCACCAAAGACCAAAAAGCAGTCGCAGTTGTGTTGAAGTGAGTTTAGATCGTTCATGTCTCTTGGCAAGTACTGATCTTATTGACCTCTCATCACCTCACACTTCATCGTGAATGTGCCGGCGCGATTCCATCAAGTCATGGTGGTATTGTTTGAACATCGTTTTTGATCTTAGACCCCCAGGCGCCAACCGCATATGATGCAGAGAAGTTCATAGATGCTCATTGCCCGTAAAGAAACCCGTACTCCCCAGAACCGTTTACGCGTCCTCAACGATGTTGCCGCGCTCCGACACGTACAGACCGTCCAAGAACTTTCGGATATCCTTGTTGCGGACCTTGCAGATTTGCTGAATATCGGCGGCACCTTGGGAGACATCCTCGAGCGACTGGGTGATGGTTAGCATTGCTCCAATCCATGTTGCGTGGCGGTCCTTACGTTTCCGGACAGCTCGAGCTGATCCTTCTGGTTCTTTGATGCCTCAACCTCAACACCGGGCCTCATGACGACCCTTCGTACGAGCTTCTCGCCGATGAAGTTCCTGATCTCAACCTCCCAGCAGTCGGTCTCCTTGTTCTTGTCCAGGTTGACGTTGATGGGGAAACTGAACATGATGTTAGTCATGTTCAACGATGTGCAAAGGCCCGCCACGAGCATGAGCCAATCTGGCGCGCCCAGCGCTCTGGCATCAGCCTCTCGGAGAGCGCTGAAAGTCGTGTCGGATGGGACATGCTCTGCGGCGGGTTCGGAAGAGATGTGCGATGGGTGCGACATACTGGGCATATACGTAACGCATCTTGTACTTGTAACCCTTGGTGACACCGATGATCAAGTTGTTCTACTCCAGTCAGCCCAGTCCTTCCTTCCTTGCCAGTATAGACTCGAGGGTGCGCGCGACGTACAATCAGGGTGCGGACAGTGCGGAGGGTGGCGACGCTCTTGCGGGAACCGTGGTGGAGCTCGATCTTGATGAGGTTCTTCTTGGGCTGTTCCAGTCTTAGCATGTGGCCCCGATGCGATGTGTGTGTTCCAAACGTACGTGCGTGAAGCTGACCGCCAAGTGACCGAGAGACTTTGTGAGCTTGCCCTGTGGAGTGTAAGAATGGGTTCGAGGATCGTAGAGGCTATTGCGGGCAGCTTACGCGAGGGCCTGTTGGATATGTCAGTGTTGTTTCTCTAGGGGTCCTCTACCATGCGCACTCACCCTCAACGAGAACATTTCTGTTCTTGATCTGGACCTTGACGCCCTCGGGGATCTCGAGCTCTTCCTCAGAGTGGCTGTTGCGCAAACGTCAGCATTGGATCCGGAATTTGATGTTTGATGGCGGAGAAGTTCGGTATAGAGGCGTCCATTGACCGTTCGGAGGCAGGAAAAAACGTGCGATGCGGCGGTTTGGGAGTCGTGATCGAGGAATAGACGTACATGTACTTCATCTTGACGGTTGCTGCGGGTTAGCGGTGTTGTCGAGAAGCTGAGGTCGAATTGTCGAAATTGTGTGGGAGGCAGCGCGGACAAAACGATAGCCGAGCCACCGCTCTAGCCCGCTTTTGTGCGCGCTAGTGCCGCCGTCTTCCTCGTCATGTCGAAGAACACCAACTTCCATCTCGACGAGTTTGCTACTGCGATACATAGCTCGAAATGGCAGACGCAAATCTACACATTGCGCAGACGTTGCTGCATCGCGCATTCTCTCCCTCGACTGCAGAGTCACACTACCACGAGCGCGTCATAAAGCGCCCCCTCCACGTTCGCGCAACCTCGCCTACGCCGTCTGCACGCGCAGTCCGCCGCCGCGCTCTCAACGAGCGCAAACAAGCCGCCAGGAAACGCAGCAAGAACCAGCCTCGTCCACTGTCCGCTGCGAAGAAACGTGCACTGTGCCTGAACGAGATACCCAAGGAGCAACAGAAGTATGCCATCTACGACGGATTACACAACCTGTGGATTGGATACATGAGGGAGGTGCTAGGCCTGAACGATGCTGCGAGGAATGTGCTTGTCACGCCAAACGCAAGTGGCCAACTGCTTGCGACTGCCGACATGCACGGTGCGCTTGTGAGTGTGGTGAGAAGCCGCTGCGTGAGCCGTGTAGGCTTGGAGGGCATCATCGTCCGTGATACGAGATTCACATTCGAGATCATCACGAAGAACAACGCTGTGAAATGTAAGTCCGGTAGGCTAGACTAGGTAAGTGGTAAGTATCTAACATTCTCAGCTATACCCAAGGAACACACAATCATCCGCTTTGAGTTGCCGTTTCCTGTCGAAGAAGGCAAGGAGCCCATGAAGCCACTGGTCTTCGAGCTCAACGCCGAGCAATTCCAGACAAGAGCGGCTGATCGCGCGAACAAGAAGTTCAGGATGCACTACCAGCCTGACATATGAAGCGAGCACATAACCATCTGGTGAACATTCCGATATAAATTAAGAGACGAGACTACCTACCTACGACGCGTTCGAGCTCATGGGTCAATTAACAGCATGACCGGCCATGCAGCAACTACAATACGAGGCACAGGAAACAGCCGACACGCGGCCTGCACCAGCAACGCACATCGTCGTGCGACATGTGCTTCCAAACGAAGGAGACGCTGAGTGGCAAGAGGACTGAGAAGGAAGCACACGTCTATCAACACAGACATGGCGAAGAGCAGCAAGTCGAAAGACACAGTCAAAGTGGGCATGCAATTATGTCATTGAGTATGGTATCATCCCGATGGCGCTTTAAAGCGCCTCCCGCTAAATGCAATGGTATCATGAACAAACAACGTCTTCATCCGCGTTTCAAAATCTTACACGTTCGTCGCGACCCTTCCAGACTGGAAGTCCTCGGGTTTGAAGTCTCTCAGCTCGGTCTCCCGTCCACTACTACCACCGTTCATCGAACTGATTTCATCCTTCTCTTTAACAGCCCTACCTTTGTCCAGTCTGCAACCCGTATAGCTTCTCGGCAGATAACGACCCGGATGCCACACAGCGAACACGACCAGCACAGCAAGTATAGGAGACGCATCGAAGACCCAGAAGCACCATTCGTGACTCTGGAGATATGCCAGCCCGTAGTTGCGATCGTGTGGTATCTCGATGGTGCGATAGAAGGCCCGGCAGGCGATAAGGACCGAGGAAAGATTGATGGTATACCCCAGTTTCCGCCAGAGGTGCAAATCTCCAAGGTCATGTGCGGCCCAATGCCGGCTAATGTAGAAGTACCGCATGCTGATGATGGAGAAGCTGAGGAAACAGAGCAGTTGCATCACCAGACCCATGATGAGGATGATCCGGCCAGGCAGCGCTTTCCGTTCAGAAGTAGCAATGGTCCGGTTCCCCTGCGTGTCTTCATCGTACTGCCGACTGATCTGACTCGCCCCCACGAGTTGAATGAGGAAACTGAAGAGGTCGAAACACACAAAGTTGGCGGTAATCCACCTAGGGAAGCACCACAGCGTCTTGAAGTTGAGCGCGTGGGTTGGACAGGAAAACCACACTACGCGACTGAATGCCGTGTAGCATGCTGCAGCCAGGAAGCTGGGGGCGAGCAAGATCATGAGCCACGAGGCGAGGAAGGGCGATTCTCTGTGCTCATCGTAGGCAGATACCAGGCGGCATATGAAGCCCAGATCGAGCATGATAATGGCGATAATGGCTGCCCAGAAGAAATACGCCTTGTGGCGGACATACTGGTAGATGGAGTATGTGGAGAGTAACAGGACAACAATTGCGCCTGTTATAGCCAGGGGGTAAGAAGGGTCGTAGATGTAAGGGTTTAGAAAATTTTGGGCTGCAATGTGGTCAGCGACGATGTTGCGTTGCTTAGTAGTAGCAGACGGAGACGAACATACCAACTTGAGCCCGATTTGGCAACCCCATTGATCGCGCTTCTAACATCGCGCTCACGACATGCATCTTAGCAGACATATCCCGCCGCACAGGTCCACCTATTTTAATCCCCGAGCGTAGTCGTTCGTCGATCACGGCAGGCCCAGTAGTCGTAATGTTGGCTCTTTCGCAAATGCCGATGGCGCGTCGCTCATGTCCCAGTCGCGGTCGCAGTGATGGTAACGCCACAACGTCGTGGTACAGCAGCCTCGTCGCAAAAGGGCATGCTCGAACACCAGGGAAAAGAGCCAGCGGAGAAGCGACCCAGATAACAAAAGGCGGCGGTAACGCACGTTTTACCCAAGCCACGCCCGCCTGCGTTCTCCGCTTGCTAAGAGCACTCAAGGCCTTGGCGGTCCCTGGCCCTTTCCACTCCGCACGCACTGCGCGTCTCCTTTCCTCCAGCTCCCACGTCCCCAGTCCGTCTCACATGTGCTGGCTAGGTAGGGCCGGGTAACCCGCGACACTTACGTCTTTAATGCGAGACGGGAGACGGATAATGCGGGTATACACACCATGCAACGCAGTGCCGCGCGCACTACTGCTACCGACCCAGGCATATCTCGCTTTGATATTACTTCGGTACACACACGTAGTTGCACCTCCTCCTTTTCACGGTTGCACCCTCGAACCAAAGGCCCGGGGACAAGCACACGCGTCAGGAATTACCACATGATCCGCCGGCGTGGCCTTGGCAAACCAACGAAAGCCATGGCGTGTGTCGCTGCCAAGGTGTTGGCAATGAGGCCGCTCGCCGAAGTAGCCGCACGCCGGGACTTCGCGTCTTACCAGACCCTACGGCGTGGTGTTGAGGCGTCGTCCAAGTGTCTTTGGGGTGTTTAGTCGTCGCGGCCAAGTAATACCCCGATGCAAACGTGAGCCGTGGCATTTCTTCGTCGCGCGATATTATCTGCGGATCGTTCGGCCTTGGGCTATGTGCCTGGTTTGTGTGTTGCGGTGTTATCCTGGCTGAAGGCCAGCGAGTGCGTTCTTGTGAAACTGAGGCGTGCAGGTGTGGCGCAGGTACGCAAAACATGGGGACAGGCGCGTCCTTGTGGCCTGCACAAGCGTAGAATGCACTACCTTTCGCGATGAACGCCACTCGTTTGAGATCGAGGAAGTTCAGGATGAGTAGCGTGAGTTTATTGAGATGCACTGTTCTTCTTCATCGATCTCATGATATATTACGTATTTCCAGAGAACCTTGGCAGAACTGGAGAAACATCGTGAATTTCCCACCTAAGATCATACTTTTAGAGCCAAACCTTGAATCGCCCTAAGCAGCCGGGTACAAGACCCGGCCAAAGTATCTCGAACTACCGTTTCATCACATCATCTCCGCGAGAATTTACCGGCTTGCCTTCGCCTACCCGTTCACTCATCGTCAAACTCGTCGTCGGAAGCGATCTTATCCGCACTCTCCTTGTTCGAGCCATCAATCTCAGCCTCATCTTCGTCATCGTCGAAACCCATGCCCTTCTTCAACCAGCGCACTTCCTTGGGCTTCCGCTCCATCCACAGTTCATTCGGGATCCAGGTGTAGAAGCTGCACATGGTCTCCTTGATGTCGTCGAGGATGGTCATGCCGCCGGTGAGGTGCATGATGTTGGCGTCCATCTTCAGGCCCACGAAACAGTCCTTGATGATGTCTTCCTCGATCCAGAACTCGTACTCTTTGCCGTCGCCAGCTTTGCGCGGCTTGCCGTTGGGATACTTGTCCTTGTCCTTGGGCAGGTCCCACTCATCACAGTCGTCCGTGTACCAGGTCTTGCACACGAGCTTGCCGAGAGGTTCAAGCTGACCGAGCTTATGTTTGAAGGACTTGCTCTGCTCTGTATATGCGGACTTCGTGTCGTCGTCAGGGAGCTGAATGGCGGTGACCTCAAGATAGGCAGTCTCTTGGCTGAGAACCTGCAGATCTCCAGACTCGAACATATCGTACTGCGCATCTGAGCCCAGAACCGCGATGCCAGTACCGAACTTGACCCTGGCCTCTTCCTTCCGGATACCGATCTCGGAAACAGTCAGGCCTTCCTTCTTGAGGTCCTCAGCCCACGACTTGTCGCCAGTATATATGTCGGCTTGGGCGCCACCGAAGACAACGCTAGCAGACTTGTTGAAGTCTCCAGGTAGGGCAAGACCTACGGAATTGACCTTGGGAAGCTCCCGCTCGGCCTGGTCACAGACTTGGAGCGCAATGGCAAGCTGATCGTCGAATTCAGGGCAGACACGGTGAAAGCGGAGATATCCGAAGAAAGAGCGGGGCACTTGACAAGCGTTCTTGATGGCGTGCGAAGCATAGCCATAGTGGGCAGGGTACCAAGATGATCTGTCATGGTCAATATGGCGTCAGGCAAGGCTGGGGTGGTAGGCTTACAGGAAAGCTTTGCAGACATCTACAAAGTCAACAACCCACCGCTTCTCATCAGACCGGTCCCAGGGTACGTTGTGGATGGCGAGGGCCCTCGCAATCTCCTCAGCACCCATCTCCTTCATGTCGTGCTTGGATATTCCTTGGTACTGGCGAGGACCGGACTCTACTCCACCAAAGCGCATGAGTTTGTTGAAGACATGTGCATACATCTCATGCATGCGACGCTTTTGCTTGAAGCGCTGGATGGCAATCTCAATGCGCTCGACGAACGACTTCTCCGGAGAGTACATTTCCTCTTCCTCGGCGGCTTCCGCAGGGGTGAGAATAGGCTCCATGTACGCCTTCTCAAATCCGGTAGCCTTCAGCATGTTCTTGGACACTCCTTCGGGGTGCTTGATCTTGGCCTGAGGGAGTAGTGGTACTGGGTACTGGGCGGGCTGCTGAGCTTTGGCCTTGCGGGATCCTGGAGCATAGGCGATGTCGTTGTCGTCGTCGGCATCGAAGTAGTCTGGATCCAGAATGCACTTTCCGGTTAGAGGAACCTTGCGCTTGATGGTCTTTCCGTCAGCAGAGACTTCCAAGAAGGCGCTCAGTCGAAGAGCTGCAGAAACGAGGGACTTGGGCTTGTATTTGCGCATCTTTTGAAAACCACAGATGCGACTGACGGAGACGGGGATGTTCTCACGCCCGCCACAGCACTGTAACATGTGCTTGTCGGTAGGGAGATTTTCATCGGAAAAGTAGAACTCCACCTTGGAGAACGATTAGTTCTTCTGAAAAGCTTACCGGGAGACTGGGGACTGGGAAACGTACTTGACGACGGATCTCTGCCCCATCTGGGTGGTCCAGCACAGTGCCGGTGACTTGAGAAGTGGCAGTGACGTTGGTAGAGGCTCCATTGGGAGGTCCTGCGTCTGCAGAAAGTGCTGTCATTGCGGTTGCCATGGTTGCTAATTTCTGTATTGAGGACTGGGAATATCAGAAGCGAACTGAAAGAGACTTGAGGTTATAGAGGGTGATATAGAGAGGATTGGGCATGGGAAGTCGGCGCGCTAGTGAGGCAGCGGCAAACGATGCTTCGCGGGTGATTGCGTTGGCCCTGGGGGTGAGAGAGCGCGACTACCTCATACCGGCGGTCGTAGCTTCTCATTCCAGACTTTTCGTTCATACAAACGCCTCATACGGTGAGTGCATCGCTAGCGATTTGATGGATGCGGGCAGCACCACGGTGAGCTGTCGACTTGGTTAATTGCAACGTATGCGACATTTGCTTGGACATGCTGCTACGGGAGTTGAGCGAGATCATATCTGCAATATAATTCCAGATTCTGCCCAGCAATAGCGTCGTGTAGAAGACGTACACTCATGCTACCGGATGATATGAAGCACACGAATCATGAATTTCATGATGACAGCATTGGCTGACTCATGGCGAAGGACCCTGAAACGCCCGTGGGGCCAGCCCACCATGTATCTTCCACCTAAACACCAACCACGAGTACAACAACACTGATATCCCGATCAAACGCGCCGTACCGACCAAGAAATATGGCCTCCAAACAATATGACGCGTCAAAACTTGTGGCATATGGCAGTGCTGCTGCTGGCCAGTAAGTCACTACCGGCTGCCTGTCAGCCTCGTGTACCAGACTAACACAACAACAGCGACGGCGTGCTCAGCGACCCATCCGGCGGCGTCGTAGTAAAACCTTGCACCCTCGCTGAAATTGACTTCTACGAGTCCCTCGCCGACCACCCAGACCTCGCGCGCCATCTCCCCACCTTCATGGGTCAGCTCTCCCTCTCAGCCGACCAGACCGCCGCTACCGAGTCCGTCGAAAGCGGCACCATACAAACGGCCGACGGTACGATCGAGCGCCTGCATGGCAAGAAGCTCGCGACCGACCTCCACATCGTACTAGAGAACATCACACACGGCTTCAAGAAGCCGAATGTTCTGGATCTGAAGCTTGGCGCGCAGTTGTGGGACGAGGCGGCGAAGCCAGAAAAGAGAGCGCGGCTAGATGCTGTGAGCAAAGAGACTACAAGCGGCAGCCTGGGTTTCCGGATAGCAGGCATGCGCACATACAAGGGAGCTGAGGTACCTGAGGTTCCGGAAGATCTCAAGGAGTATGTTGAGGCGGATAAGGAGGGCGGCTATTGGGTGTACAACAAAATGTATGGACGCAAGTTTAGCGCCGAAGATGTTAGTGAGGGCTTCACAGACTACATCTTTCCCGGCGCCGAGTCAGAAGCGGAGCTTGACCGGGCCAGGGAGGTGCTCGCGTACTTTTTGGGCGAGGTGAAGGACATTCAAGAAGTCTTCGAAAGCAAAGAGAGCAGGATGTACAGCGCAAGCATACTATTGGTCTACGAGGGCGATGTAGACGAGTATGCGAATACCAAGCAGAAGCTACGTTCCGCGCATCCAGAAGACGAGGATGAGGACGATGAGGAAACTGTGCCCAAGCTGGCCGAGGTCAAGATGATTGACTTTGCACATGCGACGTGGACACCAGGGCAAGGGCCGGATGAGAACGCGTTGCAGGGTATGAGGAGCACAGCAAAGATATTGAAGGAGTTGTTGGACAAGGCGCAACACGACTAGTTCATCTATTGGGAGCCCAGAATCTAAACGATGTATACCCAGAAGCACAGCTTAATACTATTACCATGTCTAACTATTCCCCAGTAGTGTATCATCCCAACTTCCGACTCCTCCCATCAGTGACTCAAAAAATGCTGCGTCTACACCTTGAAGCGCCCAATCGTCCGTTCCGGCAGCCCACCCTGGATAATATTGCGACGTGTCGAAAATATCATCAGAAAGTGCTAATGGTGGCTGTATCGACTGAGGGTGCTGCGTGCCAGGCTCTGGTACCAGCAGGTTGGATGACGGATCGCCATTAATATCCCGACCGAAGGAAGCAAAGTTGTCATCGACACCCATTGGGTTCAAAGAAGAGGGCACATCAAGCATTGCTGCAGTAGAAGTTTGAGAACTCGGCCATTGCTTCGTGATGCCGTTCGCACCGATCTTGATGATCCCAAAATATGGAATCGAGAGCTGAAACTGTTCGCCGCAGCCCTCTTCAAGCCGATTAACCGTGCTCTCACTGCTGTGACTGAATCCACGCGCGGCGTCGCTCTCAATCAGCAGCAAGTTGCGAAGTTGCTCAGCGCTCTTGCCTGTGAGAGGATCCTTCGTCTGGGTCTCGACGAGTGCCAGTTTTTCGACAAGTTGCTCTACCATCGCGCGATCACCGGGTCGCTGGTGAACTAGAAAACTTTGATCTGTCCAGCGTCTGCTGTCTATGTGCGCGATCAGTATTGTCATGCCCGCCATTAGCGCAAAGAAGTCGGCTGTATGGCACGATTGGGTGGAGATTGGCCGGAAGTTGTGGAATGCGACGAATCTTGTGAGAATCTCTCTGGCCGCGTTGATGCAGGTGATCTTGGCGTACATGTGGAAATCAGATCCTGTGGCGCAGCGTATGAGGAAAGGCAGATGGAGGAGGTGAAGCAGGTTGTACTGGTAGATCTGACTTCGAAGCCGCATTAGTTCCTCAAAAGTCTCTCTTGCATTTGGTTGGAGACCAGTAAAACTGGGTGCGAGCCAGTACTTGTCAGGAACTGATGCCGCAACGTTCTGAAGGTCGCGGTCTATTTTACGGGTAGCCTCGATATTCTGGTGTGGATCTCCTCGGTTGCGGTCAACGATACCACACGCTATGAGAGTATGTGCTCGATCTATCTGGCAGCTTACACTGGTCCCAGGACTGGAGTTCTCCACGCTCATCTTTTGGCCCCCATGAGGTAGGCCAAGCATCAGGCTAAGATAGCTGTCCATATGAACAATCCGAAACCAAAGGAACTTAGGGTCCACCCTGTGCTTACTCTCCAGATACTTGACAGGCGGAGGGCTTGAAGTATCCAGTCTCATCAGCTGCGCAAACACCATGGCTCTTCTGAAGGCGATCCAAGCTCGCCGAAGGTTGCCGGCGTTGGATTGGAAGGTGGCTTCGTAAACGATACATTCTAGTCCTTCGATGCAGCCTATCAGATGGTCTTTGGTGACGACCAAACGAACAACTGTTTCCACCAAGCGAGTGGCGAGGACGCCTGGATCCCCCGAGATGCAATCGCCCTTGTTACACCGAAAGTACTGTAGCATAAGGGCGAGGATGAGCATATGCCTAGCGATCAGGACTGGGGGTGTACGCGAACTGTCAGGAATTGTAGCCAGATCATCGGCAATGTCCAATGATTCGTTTTGTGAGGGGTCGATGGATGTCGTGAGACATTGGTAGCTGTACAAAGTTGCGTTGCGATCGGTCTTGCACAAGAGCTCCAGATCTTGTTGCCGTGGATACGCTCGACATAGGGCGCATGATATGCTCTCGCCGTCTGCCGTTTGTAGAAGAGGTTGTTCCGGTGTCAGTGCAGCTGAGCTAGGTGTTGGAAGGTGCGCACAGCTGGTTGTTGAGTCGTCTCTTGGATTTTCTGATCGCGCAAGCAATGCTTCTGCGCTTTGCAAGCGTTGGAGAAGCTGCTCATATGAAATATCAGGAGCATTGGCGATATTGTTTGAGCCTCTTATAGGACGCAGCAGTGATGCTTCTTGACTGCTATCGTTGCCTCCAAGGAATTCCTCTTCCGGCTGAGTCTGGAGAACGCATGGCACCTTCCGACGGCGACATGCTACACATATGGTGTCAGACGTCGCATCGAATGTGCATTTGACCTTTCGTTTCTTGCAATGCCAGCAGCTTGTTGTTCCTTTCCGAAGTTTGCGCCGCTTGCTGTGAGGCTCGAAGTTGGTGGTGTCGGCGTCATTGACGGATGATCCCGGTGAGCCTTCCATGGCTGGTGACAGTAGCCTGAGTTGAGGGCACGGTACCTCCTCTCGAGCAAAGCGACCAAACGTGTGGCACGCTTGGATCTAGTGAATTTGTTGCTGGCATCGTATCATAAACAGATGCGATGATGGTGACATGGGGAGAAGTTAGTAACTTAGGGGCGAAAGGGGAAGAGTGAGGGCAATCACCGAGACCTCGGCGGAAGGTTCTCCGCCGAACACATCCTTCAGGCATCAGCAAGGCCACCAGCAAGCCACCACATCATTGAGTCGATGCGCAACAGACTTTTTGTGGTTCGGCTAGAAAGCGACCGCGTTTGGATTACAATTCTATGGTTCCTTCTGCCATTACAAGATTAGACAACACACATGCCTCAAGCGTGTCAAGGCGATGCATGTCCGAGTGTCACCAAAAGTACAATCTAGGTATCTCAAGCACAACCTTAGCGATAGCTTCGCATTGGTAGCAAGGGCGGGAAATTCATTGTACGTCCTACCAAGACGTAGCGCATGTAATTTACGCAGCTCCGGCCTGCACCTTCTCCATGTTCAGCTTCTTGAAGGGTACCAACATGGCAGCCACGGCAGCTGCACCAGCCAAAGCTGTCGCAATAGCGAGCGCGACCTTGATGCCCGCCATGTATGCGACCACTATGCCTGCTATGTCTTCTGCAGCGAAATTGTTTCGAAGCTGCGTCGCTCCGGATCCGACTACTGCCAGCGGATTCACGTTCGGTGCTGTGCTCGCAAGCGTATTGATCATGCGATTGACAAATCCAGACTGAGCCGCAGTCAACGAGAATGCACCGCCGATGGTTTGGAAAACTGCGATGTATTAGTTAATTCCATATGAAAAGAGCTTATTTGCATACAAAAGATCGTTGCCGTCGCTGAAGACATGTCCTCTGCCCTTGCATTGGCCTGCCCGGTATTGATGGCCATTTGGAAGCCTAAACCGACTGCGATACCGTAAAAGGCTTGATAGCCGATCCATTTGCCCAGCCCAGTACCAATGTCGAATGTGTACATTAGACCGGTAGCGATAGTCGCTAGAAAGGCACCGCCGATCATGAAAGGTGCAGCATAGCCTGTCTTTGAGACAACACCGCCACTGACTATGCTACCCAACACCATCGCGAGGACCAGTGGGAGGTTCAGCACACCCGAATTGATTGCGCTGCGGTTGTCGACGCTCTGAAAATAGAGGGGTAGGTAGTACAGTAAGACAAGATATGATGATGAGAAGAAGAAGATGAAGGCAGATGGCTGCCATAGTGTCCGCTCGCGGAGAAGCCGGGATGGAAGCATCGAACGCTCGCCGTTGAAGATCTCCCATGTAACGAAGGTAATTGCGATAACGACGAAGCCTACCAATAGGCCGATGACGTAGCTGCTGTTCCAAGGTCGCTTTTGGCCTCCATTTTCGAATGCTAAGATGTACGTAACGATACCGCCCATGACGAGAGCAATGCCGAGAGGATCCATTTGCAAGAACTTTTCCTTCCAAGTCGCTTGAGTGATGACAGCTTGTGGTGGAGTCTTGTAAGTGAACAGAAGTAGTGCTGCAGAGGCGCCGCCGATGGGAAGGTTGATGTAGAAGCTGCGCCATAATCAGCATGTATGCAGAACAGTCATGAGAGAACATGAACTTACCACCATCGCCAGCTTACTGTGTCTGCGAAAACTCCTCCTAATAGCGGACCGACGACGCTAGAAAGGCCATATACAGCACCAACAATGCCCATCAGAGCTGGTCGCCGTTTAGGCTCGGCCGCGAATGCCGCCATAGTGAACGCCCCCGTCACTACGCCGGCGGAGCCGACACCAGCGATTGCACGACCAACGACGAAAGTAATGGAATTAGGAGCGACGGCACATATTAGGCTTCCCATCTCGAAGACGAAGATGGCACCCAGGAAGGACCACTTGAGTGGGAAGTAGCGATAGAACTTGCCAGACATGGACTGGAAACCGCCGAACGTCATGAAGTACGCAGAACCATACTAAGACATGTCAGTATCCCAGGAAGCCGATAACCCAGATTGAGAACATAAAACTTACCCATGAAACCATGTTGAGGCCTCCAAATTCGTCTGTAATCTTAGGAATGGCTGTCCCAAGAATCGTCATATCCAGGGCCGTAAGAAAGACTGCGCAGAGTATCGCGATCAAGATGGGTACCAGCAGTATGCCACTAGGATATTCTTCTTTGACATCATCGGGCTTTTCATCTTGTTCAGATTTGAGCTCCTCCTCGACGGCTTCGTTGTTCTGCTGCTGCGCCTTCCCCTCAGCGAGGTTGTTTGGTTTCGTGACGCCACCAACGGATTGTGCAGTTGCATCGGATGCGACCGAGGTTTGGAAGTTGTGTTCGTTCATAGTGTGCATCTGGGGTCGAAAGTAAGGATAACGTTGGCGGAAGTGTCAAGGTGACAATTTGCTGCGGTAAAAGAGAGTGCGAGAAGTGCCGCACATATACTGGTCTACGGACGAATACATGATTCGATTCTGCGAGTAAAGCTCCAATTCATTTGGCTGAGTAAATGTTCGTCGGAGGACGAAAGGAGGGAGAGGGCTTGGCACATGCTTCCGCCGAAACCTTCGGCGGAAGCAATCTGCAGCCTACATTAACACAGAAATATGCGAAATAGGTAACGTAACGTTAATGTAGGCTGTAGACCTATTTAGTTGGTTTTCCTTGTATAAGGTGTTTGTGTAAGACGGCCCTGCTAGTCGGATGCCGACGTCGGGAGCTTGCGAGATCCCCCAACACGGCATGCGAGAGGAAGATCTTCCCATGCGCGGCTTCCGACGTCCAATGTGCGTTGTTGTCCAAGATGTGGTCTTTAATCGTGATGCACGTCCAAGAATCGTCCACCAGCGGAACTGAGTGGCCCGCATTGTTATCGCAGTAAGTAAACAGACATACGTTTTGTAAGAGACGTAGTGCATCGCGGGTTGCTATTTGTGGTTAGTCAGCGCTTCATTAAGATTCGGAATGCCACCTCTTCCTCTTCACACATCTACCCCTTCCACGTTACAATGTCGCAAGATCTCCGTTCAAAGATACTTCTTCCGCTTTACATTTACCCACATCCGGGTGCATGGAGTCCTCTCTATACAGCGTAGTGTTTCCTTCGCCGCTAACACGAAGTTTCACTGACGTCTCTCAGCATCGCCGCGGCGCCAGATGTTCAGTTTCTGGTAATCGTCAATCCAAACAGCGGGCCGGGGGCTGCACCGTGGTGGCCGAATGAGGACTATCTCCGGGAGATACCGCGGCTAAATGCATTGCCGAACGTCACCACCTTGGGCTACGTGCGTACAACCTATTGCAAACGGCCTGTTCAAGACATCCTTGATGATATCGAATCGTATGATAGAAGAGGTCGAGAGAAAAGTGGGTATAGAGTGGACGGCATCTTCCTTGATGAAACAGTGAATTTATACTCGGAGGAAGTCAAGAGCTACCTCGACACCGTTGATCGCAGAGCGCATGTCCTTGCCGGCGTCGCGGAGGAGAGAATGGCAAGTCTTCAATTATTCATGCCGGACGGATGAGAGTTACCCAAGCTGACTAGGCCAAGATCATTCATAATCCTGGCACAGCAGTCAGTACTGAGCTTGCGACTCCGGGACCAGAGGTCACAGTAGTTGTGGAAACAGCCTACAAGGAGTTCGTAACCAAAGAGTACCAAGAGTGGCTTGCTACTTCGCCGTACGGACGGTCTCGTACTGCGTATATGATACATTCAGTTCCGCAAAAAGATGTCGAACCGTTGACGAGAGCGCTGCGTGAACGGGCCGCGTACTTGTTTGTGACCAGTGCATCTTGCGACTTCTACGGGCAGTTTGCCGAAAGTTGGCCTAAATTTGTCGCCTCGCTAGCGTAGCCCTGAACGCAAAGGCAGTCGAATTTCTTGAGAGTTCGTTGCGATGATCGGTGACCGTGTTGGAAGAAGTCGCAGAAGGCGCACATCTATGCAAACCTTTCTCCACGAGCAGGCGTCGTTTCCTTGGGACTGTTTGACGGTCAGAAGCCGCTTGATGTCGCGATTGCTTAGGTTCCAGACAGTCTTATGACTACGCCTTTGAATCTAGTCCGCTACTACTCCGACTGTTCTCTTTCTTGCTCTCCTAACGCTTCCTCGATAGTAGCCCATATCCTACACCTGTTCCAAAGTCCGTCAGGCACGTCAAGTAGACGCTCCTCGCCTCCGATGACCTGGAAGCGTTTCTTCGCAAGAAGCTTCGCGGCGAATTTCCAGTCCCAGCAAGCAGTAGGGTCCAGAAGCGCTGCATGCGGAGTGGTAAGA